AATGATTAGGGATTCCCATATCAAGGATTTATGGCTTTGATTGTAAAATGATACAAACCCTAATGGATTCTGCAAAATGAATGAAAAATAATAGTATGTGCATCAATTGTGAAAGGATTTTGCACTGGAGACTTCAATCTATGTAAATTAGTATGTAGAATTTGCTAGATGTACATTTTTGTGTACATCTTTCATGACATTGCCCCCATGTGGTACAATTTGAGTAGTGATGTGAAAATGTGCTGAAAAAATCAACGTGGAATAATGTAAAAGTTAATTTAAGGCAAAATGTACAAGTAGCATGATTGTTAGTATGTATATTGAAGAAGATATATATGAGGAAATATTGAAATATTAGAGATTCAATAAAAGGAAATAACATTTTGAGTGGGATATTATGCCATGGAATGGCAATTAATTGCTAAAAGTTGTGGGATAAGACAAATATGCCGGTTTTTTTTTTTGGTTATGGTATAAAGAGACGTGATTTAAAAATTACCATTTTTACTTTTATAATTCAGTATTAATGGAATAAAAGAACATGTGAGGAAAAATATGAATAATGTTATATACAAAGTGTATGTGGTGTAATTTCCACTATTGAATTGAGTAATGGTCTTGTCTTAATCCAGTTTAGTCCGATTAAATAGTCCAAACTATGTTAGTCCCATTCATTTTCTGTCCAACCAATTCCAGTCCAAACTATATTGTGTCATGGTCTTTTTCCAATTGTTCAATCATTTTACTTGTAACTCCTTTCCATAAATTTTCCTCACATAGTGGATTACAAATTTATAGACCAACTTTGACCCTAATTCAGTCAAGATTGACTCTATTAAATAGTATAGAAAGTCAGTACCTATTGAGCGATCTCAAAATAAATTGGGAATAGTCAAGTCTTTATGCATAGAATATAGGGGGGAAAACGAGCTTCTACAAGCACTTTACCTGTAGTCAAGTCTTTATGCATAGAATATAGGGGAAAAACGAGCTTCTACAAGCACTTTACCCGTAGTCAAGTCTTTATGCATAAAATATAGGGGAAAAACGAGCTTCTACAAGCACTTTACCTGGTCAATTTCTTCCGAAAAGGTAAACTGAAAAACATAATTCCATCACGATAGTTAGTTATATATTCACAATTTGTGCAACATCATGTTATCCAAAAATTTAAGGGGCCAAACTTATTTATCACCTTTTATTTTCAAATTCCCCCCACGTGCGATTGATTAATTTGTACTAAAACATTGACACATGCAGAACTTTTATAATGAAAGGCTACGAGTTTTGAACTTAAAATATTTGCTTGTTTATTAAATCAACTCATTAAAAATTGTGAAATATTGGAGAATAGATAAATTTATTTATTTATTTATTTCTTTTTAATTGTGTGGAGTCTAATTTATAGGCCAATCCCAAAATTGTTTTGTATGAAACCAAACTTTTCAACCAAAATCGTTAGAAACAATGTAGATTCCTAGCTTGTGGGTGGGTGGGTGGGTCAGTTGGTGGAAAGTTTAGAATGCAAATAATGTAGTAAAATGTTACTTTAAAGACAAATGTAAATCTCTTTTAAAGTGGTAACAAACCTAGTCTTGAAACAACATTAATTGCGTGTTTGTAAATTATAAGTTGTGAAATCTACGAAATATACGTATAAAAGTTATACAATCTACATAGTGTGTAGATAAAAATGATGTTTGACCAGCTTATAATCTCTAAAATACTTTGTTAGTCCGAATATCTTCTATGCTTCTTGTCCCAACACACTAAGGCAGGGGTGGACGCGGACTTTCGAAACTAGGAGGGCACAATCTAACTTTCAGATTTTTTTGGGAGGGAGAAGAGGAGAAACGGGGATTACAGGATGAATTTTGGAGACGGGAGAGAACTGAAAAGATATGCGACTCAGGGGGTTGGGCTGCAAAATTCACCTAATCTCAACCAAAATTCACCCACGTCCATCACACAGACAACTTTCACCAAAACTACTGCAAACAACCCCCACACCAAACCAAAACCATAGTCCTCACCTAATCAAACCACAACCACAACCACATTCCCAATTTCTTTTTTCATATTAATTGAACATTGATTAATAAATAATAAGTAATAACACAAAATACATAAACCTCATTGATTTCACACAACACCAAAAGGCAGTAAAGTAATTGAAACATAAACATCGTCAGAAGCAAATCATACAACTAGAGCCACTTCAAAATTTGAATCAATAAGTTTCAATTAAATTAACTGAAAACACTTCCAATACTTCACATATTATCTGACAGCATTAATCCACCCTAACCCATTACCAAATTTGCAAACACAAAATCATCACAATTCAAAATTACATTCTCTTGTTAAAATACATAATCAAATACACATAGTAAAATACATAATCAAATATACACACAGAAACTAACCTTAATTCTGTTACAGATTAATGGGAGTCGGAGACTCGGAGTCGCATAGATTCGCTTCGCCCAGTCGCGGCTTCTTCTTCTAATTGGAATTGTCGAATTGGGAATTGAGAGAAGGTTTAACTTTGCCTGTTTTGGAATTAGACCATTTCCTCCATTATTGGGCCTAATTCTTTTACACAATAATCAGCCCAGCTACCCAAGTGCCCAAACAAAAAAAAAAAGACAACATAGCCCGTTTCAGTTTCTTCTTCTCAGTTATCTTCTCCAACATTTCTCCCTTTTCCAGTCCAGCTCTGCAATCTTACCCCCCTGCGTTGCTACTGGAAAAAAAAAATTCCCCAAAATCTACAGGGGCACGTGCCCCTGTAGGCCCCTGTGTAGGTCCGCCCCTGCACTAAGGCAAGTGAGTCACAGATATTGTTATGCAAATTATGCAAGTTGAAAGGTGGTTAATTGTAGAATTTGAAAGGCAAACGCAAATGGCATTCTCTTAACGCAAACCCACCAGTACTTTTCTTGCACGATTGGTCAAATTAAAAATTACCTATAACTTTGCTAACATCCCAAACTTACTCTACCAAATATCCTCCTATATTTTACATTCTCCATAAGGCAACACATATTCACACGTGTAAGGAGCCTTCTCCTAATTTTCCATTCTTGAAAAGGAAAAAATAAATAAATAAAAATAAAAATAAAAAATTATGTTATTCTAGTGTGAAAAAGTATCGACTTAAATAAATACGTCTATCTACTCTTTTAATAGTTAATTTTCCTCTCATAGGTGATTTAAGATATATTTTCACATCTTAAAGACCGTGAATGAGGTATTTCAACGTTTAAGTCAATTAACCTAATTATTTGCCTAAACCGATAAATGTGGATAGAGAGAAAGAATAAACTTTGACGAGTGCTAATATTGCGTAGTCAAACGTTAAAATTGATCAAAGGGTAATTAACACATAATTTCCCCACCTTTGAAAACGTCTCCACCTTTGAAAACGTCTTTACCTTTCATTTTTTAATATTTCCATCCTTATTTCCACCTTTCATTGCGCAAAAGGTTCTTTTCATCTATTTTATCAATTAAAAATTATAAAATGACGAATATACCATTCTCTTTAAATAAAACCTAAACAATTACCATAGTCCTTTTTTTAAAAAAAGTGCAAATGAGTCCCCAATAAATTATTAAAAAAAGTTTATTTTTTTTAAAAGTGCAAACGAGATCCAAATAAATTATTAAAGAATTAGAAATTTAAAAAAATAGTTTTTTTATTAAAATAGGAGGGTATATTCATTATTTAACAGTTCTTTATTGAGAAATTGGATGAAAAATGGATGAAAATGATGGTTTGAGAAATCAAAAGTTCAATTAAGGGTGAAAATGCCAAAAAAAAAATGAAATGTTTGGACGTTTCTCGCAATAACAGTGAAAGGTATGGACATTATGTACTAATTACCCTTTTAATAATTTATTTAAGACTTATTTGAGTTTTTTTTTTAATTGGAACTATGATTGCAATTATTATTATTTTTTTTCTTTTTGTTTTATTTAAAGGGGGTATATTTGTCATTTCACATTTTTTAATTGAGAAAATAGATGAAAAGAACCTTTTGAGCAATGAAAATGTGAAAATGCCAAAAAAAAAATGAAAGGTGTGGACGTTATGTGCTAAATGTTCAAAATATTTTATGGGTCTGCAATGTCTTTTGAATAAGATGATTGGTCTGCCATTATCAAATAAGAACTTTTATAGTCTTACAACTTTAAGAAGTTAAAAAAATAACCATGTAACTTATGTCTTTATAGTGGCATACAGCGGCGGAGCCAGTATATTTTATTTGGGTGGGCAAAAATTATATAACAAAAATAATTATAAATAATATAACTATAATTATTCCCAACGTATTTTCGTATTTTGAAAACATCGTATAATTATATTATTATCAATTTCGTTGAATATATTTTTCTCAATAGATAAAACGCTGCTTTGTTCTATTACTAAATCCTTTCAAAAAACTGCTAACTAAAACATTCCAAGAAGTACATGGAGATTGCACACAGACCAGAGATGAAAATTGAATTCTCAATTTGTAAAAATTATGCTTTGCGTCTAAGGCAATGTTGGATTGACCAGTGGAGACCCACCTATGGCCGACTCGACTATAGGACAACACCACTTTTTTTTATGCGTATAATGGCATTGTATGAGTTGATATGAATATGTAAGAAGCATGTATATTGGTAAACAAGAATAAATGTAATTAACTGTCTCGTCATTTTCCTTGTTTGAATGTTAACTAAAGCAAGAGTCAACTACCTTCCATATTATTCTTTCTTCTCAATCTCCTGAAAAATGAAAGAAAAACACTTCTATAAGCAGCCATTCTCTTTTCTTCCCTGCAAGAAACCCTTCTTTCATTTCATATGCTCACAACTTTTACAGATCTATATATGTGTGTGTGCTGGCTGATGATTAGATAAAACTTGGAGTACCCCCATAAATTGTTCTTTTGTAGTAGTCTCTTCTTAATTCGAATTAAACTTTATTCATCGAAACTGGGAGAAAAATGATGTCAAAGGCTTTTTCATTCACACTTTTGATCGTTTTAGTATCTTCTTCCTCTTGTTTTGGCAAGCCCAGAAAGGTCCATCCATCTTCTAAGAATTGCAATAACATCCATTCTGGAAGTCCTAAAACTTCTGTCCTTATAAACCGATACAAGGACAAATTTCCTAACTTCAGCCAGTCCAGTCATTGTCATGGTCATGGTCATGGTCATGTTCATTGTGCTAGGAGAAGGCCTCAACAAGCGATAATAATCGATGTAGACCATTTTGGAGCCAAAGCTGATGGAAAAACAGATGCTTCTGAGGTGCTAAATTGCTAATATTAGAGCAGTGCTTTCTTCATTGCCTCTACTTCCGGCAAATTTGCCTAATTTTATAATACATTGTACCTATAATAATATCATTTCCTCCAATGGAGAGGGTCCGCCTTCTTATATTTCCACATAGATTTGACTTAGTGTCATTTAATATCTGTATGCTAGGAAATAACACCAACACTCACTAAACATGGAACCATGATACATTTCCCCTCCTTTTTGTGTTTGATTTTGTTAGTCATATTTTAGTTGCGAGGTTGATTGTCATCAATTTTGTTCACCTTTTCATTAACTAACATTTATTATGGTTAAATATATTTGTTTTCGTCTTCAGGCATTTATGAATGCTTGGGAGAGGGCCTGCAAGTCTTCGAAACAAAGTATTTTTCTGGTGCCGAGACATAAGACTTATCATATCAGGAGAATTAATTTTACTGGTCCTTGTAAATCTAGCATGAAAATGGAGGTTAGTTTCTATATTTCATTGCATAATGTAGCATAAAATTGTAGAGTTATGGCTGGTATTAAGTTGTTAAACCGCTGTTTTCCTTTCTTGTGAGTTTATAGATTAAAGGAACCATCAAAGCTTTTTCAGAGCTCTACAATGACACTAAAAGATTTTGGATAATGTTTCATAATTTAAGAAACTTTGAAGTTCGAGGTGGTGGAATCATAGATGGCAATGGAGAAATATGGTGGAACAATTCTTGCAAAATCAAAAAAACTCTGGTATGTATTTCTAGAGAAAAAAAACCCTTCTTTTTTCTACTCGATTTGTGCAACAAAAAGTAATAACTGATCGATTTCATATTTATATGATACTAACATATGATGATGGACTACTAATATTTTTCCTCTTTTTCTATGGCAGCCTTGCCAAAACCAGCAGGCGCCAGCGGTATGCTCATGGGGCTTTCATTTGCTGCTATCAAAAGCTTACATAAATTGAACAAAGATTGAATAGGATGCTTAAAAACACATTCTTATTTTTCTCACAGGCCATGACCTTTGACAATTGCATGAATTTGAAAGTGACCAATCTACATATACAAAATTCGCCGCAAATGCATCTGATTTTTAAGGATTGTGTGAATGTTAAGGCTTCATACCTTAAAGTGACAGCACCAGGAAAAAGCCCTAATACTGATGGAATTCATGTTACAAGAACACAAAATGTTGATATTACAATGTCTGAAATTAAAACAGGTAAAGGGATGGTTCAAAAACATTTTCACTAACCAATTAGATCATCTTTATTTAAGTAGTATTCGGCCCAAGTATAGTATACAATAAACGAGATTTTAAATTTTTATGCTACTTTAACCATGTCCATTTTTGGTTTTGAATAGGTGACGACTGTATTTCAATTGTAAATGGATCTAAAACTATTCGAGTTTTGGATATAGTATGTGGACCAGGCCATGGAATCAGGTATATGTATCTAGTGTAACTTCAAGAAAAAATTTATTTTGTTTTTTTCTCCCTTCTGGAATACTTAAAATTCTTGATTTCCAGCATTGGAAGCCTAGGCGAAAATCGTTCAGAGAATCATGTTTCAGATGTTTTAGTAAATGGAGCCAGGCTTTCAGGAACTACAAACGGAGTTAGAATAAAGACTTGGCAGGTAAAATTCAGTTCATCCATTCATATTCGTACTTTCTGATATATATTTCCAACTCAACTTTGCCTTAAGTTTTGTATACCAGAACTTAAACTAACTATATGCAATAATTTCCACCAAATATGGCACAAAAGGCCAGATCGAAAATATGGGTTCACTGCATTTTTGTGCACCTGAAAGAGCATTGAAAAATATATAAATAAATAACTTTATCTCGTCTTTTATTATAAATAAATGAGATGGTTCAACACTTGTTTTTCTTAGTTCCTCCTATGAAAGTCGTAAAATCACTATCCCATTAATAGCCGAGGCCAGAGAACAGATTTTAATTCCAAATTCTGTTTGACATTCAATTCAAATATATCTTTCTACTAATTCCTTAATTTGGAAAAAGTCCGGAAATAAATTCAAACCCTTGTAGCATAAACATTTTATACATAGAGAAAATTAAATATTTAATTAAAAACATCCATACCTGTAGCAGTATATGCTTTAAAACCACAAATTTGTTCATAAATTGTACATATCAACAAATCAATCATTAATCAACCTCAGTTTATGTTATTTTTTTTACTCTAATATTTGTGTGAAGGGAGGGAGTGGGTATGCAAGGAACATCGTATTCCAAAATATTCAGATGCAGAATGTTTCCAATCCCATAATCATAGATCAGAACTACTGTGATAAAGCTGAACCGTGCCACCAGCAGGTACAATTCTATTCAATAGCCATATTTATGCACGGTATTTGAAACGCTCGAGAGTATTTTTTTCCACTCCTTAGACTAGTATATGTCTCCGTAGTGCATATTTCACTGTACATATAACGACATTGATTTGAAATCATTACATCTACCGCAACATACTCTCGAGGGAAATTAATGTACTCGTAGTTAGTTATAGCATGTTTGTTAAGAAGAATTGGACAAGTCTGACGATTCCGAAAAGAAAATAGCTAAAATATCATACATTACAGCATCTAGTCTCTGTCCGATATTGCGTATCAAACATGCACTTAATTTACATAACCCTGTATTTTAATTATATCTAAATTTCAATACAGAAATCAGCAGTGCAAGTAATGAATGTGGTGTACAAGAATATACGAGGCACGAGTGCTTCAGAGCTGGCTATAAAATTCAACTGCAGTGAAACAGTTCCATGCAGAGGACTGGTACTCGAAAATGTTTATTTAACCCGACAAGGGAAAGGAGAGGCTGAAGCTAAATGCAGTAATATTATTGGATTAGATAATATTGGGAGATCTGTTTCTCCAAGTTGCCATAATTTCAGCAACTAAAGGGAGTCATGAATTTCTTAGATTGATATTGCAATTTTATTTTTTTTTGGGTAAATGTTGATAGTTATTAAAACGCTCTAGTACAATTTAATTTTGTGATATAAGAAGTTTGTAGCTTCTAAATCGATAATGGAAGTTTTTTAACGTTAACATGGACAGAAAGCCATGAAAAAAAATGAATTAAGTACTACAATTTGAAAGACTAGATTCGTGTATAGTTAAAAGAAACTTGATATACTTGCATGATGGGTGCTTCAAATCAGTTTCCTCTCCAAAAAAAAGTCAAGTTTCACCTAAATTAAGTTACTGCANAGTCAAGTTTCACCTAAATTAAGTTTTAACTGCATATACGTATTCTTATCATAACATATGAAAAAGCGTAATGTTAATTGTTAATCTTTAGAAAATTTCACTGTTATTAATTAATTATTTTACTTTGGAATCCACTAGAATATCTTTCACAGACTAAAAAGAAAAAGAAAGTGTTTTTCTTCAAATAAAAAGATTTTTATTCAAAAGATATTCAATATATTCACTTTGAACTATCGTACCATTAACACTTCATGTGTAATGAAGGTTTCTAACTTTTTTTACAAGTTCAAATAAGTTTTTAATCTTCAAGTTTTGACAATATTCGACTTAATTAATTAGTGTTCCTATAGAAATTTTTGTACATGTATTTACTATTTAGGGGTGTTAAAATGTGTAGGCTGGCCCAAACAGATCCTCGTGCATATTGACCCTGCTCAAGCTCGTATGAGCCTGAACTGACCCATCTAAAATTATGATCTGGACTCTTCTTAAAAGTCTTGGACTGAAGCGACCTGCAAACTTGTTAGTATTGTGGACTAGTCAAGCTGAGCCAACTTGTCATTTTTAATCTTATTAGACCTCACAAAGAAGTCCACAAACCTAACTGACTATCAGCGAAGCACAAAATGATAGGCGAATGGAACAAAGAAACGGAAAGGCTCGCATAAATATCGTGAGCCATTCACCATACACAGTTTAGTTATAGGCTTTCAATAAGATACACATGGACAAACGGATGAAGCATGATTCATAACCTAATTAGTTAGAAAATAGCCAACAAGGAGTCGCCACCAGTCATCATGCAAAAATAACCAAACTACCCCAACGCTTGGATGAAAATCTATAAATATCTCCTCATTTGAAGAAGGTAGCATACAATTCAAATATTTCTCTCTCAAATAGTTATTTCTCCTCTTGTTCTAATTCAAGCATCTAAACTAATTAATTTAGGAGGTAAAACTCATAGTTAGTGTTGACCTATGGTTGATCATGACCTTAATGTTTTGATTATAACAAACAAGTCCATCTTGTTTACTAACAAATTGAATTGAGTGTTTAACTCTTCAAAGTTATAAAGATAATTATTCACACTCAAATGAAGTACAAGTGAAGTTTAAACGATCATTCAAGACAAATCACTCGAGACAATAGTGATTTGCATGCGATAATCAAATTGGAACTTAACAAAATTGCAAATCAAGATACAAATCAAAGAGATGCTCAAAGAGATCAAGAACTTTGAAGATGCAGTTATTTATCGAACCTTATTTTTATATGTAAAGGTATAACTCATCAATGTTTAGTAAGTGCATAAAGCTCAAGTATTTCTCATAAATTTATCACTTACATAAATTGATTTGACATGAAAATGATTTTGAACATTTGTAATATATCAAAAATCTTGAAAAATCATTTTCAAACGTCCCTCAAACGAACACACTTCAACTTTCAATCAAAACGTTATACTCCGATTTTCAATCTCATAATTGGGATAGATTTTTGACATAGACAATGATCTAACTTGAAGATGATTTCTGAATCAAAGTGAGTCAGCTTTCTAACCCAGTTTGAATCACCTTAATTGGATATCGAGAGAAAAAGATATGATCAAAATACTTAAAGCTGTGCGGCCTGTCGGTTGACTTCAATCTCATATTGGGACAGATTTTTGACATAAAAAATGATCTAATTTGAAGATGATTCTGAAGAAAAGTTGTAGCCCCTTGAGTCAGCCTTCTAACCCATTTTGAATCACCTTAATCGGATATCGGGAGAAAAAAATATGATCAAAATACTGAAAGCTGTCTGGCCTGTCGGATGACTTCGATCGACCAAAAGTAACGGCTATAATTTCAAATTGGTCAACCGAACTTACCCGAGAGCAACCCTTTTTTTGCTCTATAAATGCCCCTCTCTTCTCCATTCATTTTCACCAACTTAGAAGAGATTTTTGAGAGCTTTTTTATTGAGAAATCATTGAGTTTACTTAAGTATAAATTCTATTTCATTTATTACAAAAGAGTTTCTTGATTGATTCAACATAATTCATTCATTTTATCAAGAAATCTTTTTTACAAAGAACTCTTCACAAACTTCAAGTATTCTTCATTTTTTATAAAAGTTTTCTTTGCCAACACTTTAATTTAAAGTGTAAATCTCTCTTCATACTTAAATTGTATTATTTGTTAAGAGAGATCATTGGCTTGAAAACTTTGATACAAAGAATTTCTTGATTGATCAAAACTAGTTTCATCTATTTCATCAAGAATTCTTTTTGCAAAGAAACTTTCTCAATCTCATCTATTCTTAAATCTTGATAAATGTTTTCTTTGCCAACACTTTTATTAAAGTGTAAATCTCTCTTCATACTTAACTTGTATTATTTGTTAAGAGAGATCATTGGTTGAAAAACTTTGATACAAAGATACAAACTATTTCATTATTCATTATTCATCAAAGTTTACAACATCAACACTTGAGCTTTATTATTTGCTATCTATTGAAGTGTTTACCTAACTCTCTAATACTTAACTTGATTATATCATTTGTTAAGAGAGTTTCTTCATTGTAATTTATCACTTATTTCTTGACGGTTTCGAGAGCCTTGTGAAAACTCGATTATAAGGATAGGTGCTCCTTGTTGTAAGTCACCTAAGGATAAGTGCTCCTTATTGTAAGTCACTTAAGGGTAGATGCTCCTTGTTGTAAGTCATCTAAGGATAAGTTCTCATTGTTGTAAGTCACTTAAAGATTGGTACTCCTTGTTGTAAGTTACCATTATAGTACATTTGGCCTTGCTCGTGACGGAGAGCTTGGTAATGGGGGACGTAGATCATTGGACTGGATCGAACCTCCATAACATATCGTTTGCACTTTCTATCCCTTTTACTTTCGCTTTTATATTTTTGCTTATTATTTGAATTAATCTATTTAGTCTTTACTTGGTTGAATTTAGATTAATTCTTCGAAAGAGTTTCAAAAACCAATTCACCTCCATCTTGGTTAGTTATTCTTGGGCTAACAGTTAGGTGAGAGGATTTGTTGATTATATTTACATTTGATCTATGATTGTAATTATTTAATCAATAAAATCGTTTGATCCAATTTTTATCATCAACAAATTTGCGCTATCTTTGGGAAACTTGAACGAAGTAAACCACAAAATTTTGTTATGCTCAAAAGATTTTTCTAACATATGGAAGAAATGATGTGGAAGGAAATCTAGAGCAAAAGCTATTGCCAAAAGCCATACAGAGGACAGAGCAGCGACGATCTCCTAAATAGCGATGATAATCCAAAACGAAAGCCGAAGGAAACACCACTTAAACTACGAGACAGCATTTCTCTGGCTTAACCCCGCCGCTTGAAATGAAAGGCATTTGTTTCCAAAATAATAATTGCCATTGGAAAAAAGCTTAAAGATACTAACTGCTAAAAATGCATCATTGCACGTAAGAGCTGAAAATCCAAGAAGGGTTGGCAAGAGGATTCAGTGGTAAACGGAGAAAATATGCAGCATGTTCCTTCCGCGAGAAAAGTTATAGACTAAGATCAACAATAATTGGAAAAGAAAATAAAGAAGCAAGAGGAGGGTCAAAATGCAATAAGAATATCTATGGATGAGCTGAGTTTTCGCGATAGAAGATCAACTCAAAACTACCATCAAGGAGAGCAAAGGGCTAAGAACTATGGTGATGCGTCATATAATACGAAAAAGTGTGATGATCATCCAACCGGATTGTATGAAATGGATGATGACGATGAATACGTACCATTTTCCAAGGAAATCAAGGAGATACAAATCCTGGATGATTTCATTCACCCAGTAATGGACAAATATAATGGAAAAGGAGATCTTATGTACCATATGTTCGAGTACATGACACAAATGAAGCTGAAGAAGGAAGCCCTGCACTGAAGTGCCAAGGAATCCTCTAAACTCTGAATGGATCAGCTAAAACATGGTACAGCAAATTACTGTTAAGATCTATTAGAAGCTGACCCCAATTGAAACAAGCTTTGTTGGGGACATTTGGTAGAAATGGACCGGGACAAGCTTTAGCCACACAACTGAATGACATGCAAAAGGAAGAAGGAGAGTCTAGATTATGTGACTGAAAGTTTAATCGTCTAATGATTTTTTTTTTCATTTTTTTGGAAATAAATTTTTTTCTAGAAATTTTATAAAGGTTTTATTATAAAAAATTAAAATTTAGCCAAACGAAAAAAATAAACACTTGTTACAAAAAATTGACATTGCAAAAAAAAGTTAAAACAACAAGTAAAGAGTGTTACAAAATATAATAAAAGCAACGGAAGAGGTACGTCGTACAACAACGTAAATTTGAGGGCTTTTGCAGCACGCATTGCACGTTGCCATATCCTTCTAATCTACGACAATACTAGATCTTACAATATACGGGTGAGCATTGTAAAAAACTTATTGCAACATTTTTTGTCCGTTGCAAAAAACTATTTTTCTTGTAGCGATTTTTTCCTCTACCTCTAACATTTTTGGCAACAAATTTTTTTTATCGCAAAAAGTNCTCATTGCAACATTTTTTGTCCGTTGCAAAAAACTATTTTTCTTGTAGCGATTTTTTCCTCCAACTATAGAATTTTTAGCAACAAATATTTTGTATCGCAAAAAGTAGACCATATTGCATCACAAGCAATTTGTTGCAAGA